TGGCTCCTGGCATACTATATGGCATAGAATGAGCACAGTAAATATTTGGAAAATAACTAAAAATCAACTCAGATCATTCCCAATATGCCTCCCATCAACATGACACCTTACCAGACACTTTGAACAACAACTCATGATCAGCTCAAAGAATTTCCTAATTAAGACAGATTATCAACAAGGACCTGCAGATACTCAAATCGACAACAGAAAGAACTTTTTTCTTCTACAGAGCTCAGATTTCCTCAGCATGTTTCATTTATCTTCACAAAAACTACTCTGAGGAAAAGATCAGAGGTATGGCTTAACTTTCCTTTTGCCGATGAGAAAGTATACTTCTTAGTTAGTAATGTGCTCAGAATTTTCTATGTGTATGGCTTTACCTTTCTACCCCTTCCTCAAATTCCTTTTAAAAATGTTAGAGGTATGTATCTCCAAAGTATATGGTAATTTTTCTTGGAGAAGCTTTCTTGACAAAATTAAAAGTTAAAGTAAGGAGATGAATTTAAACTTTAGTAAAAATGAGAGTGATTTTAACAGAGCATCTGTGCCTTTGGAGAACAAAACCAAGAATGGCATGTGATAAGGAATCATTCCTAATCCTATCACCAAGAAAAAACGTGACTAGTTCTCCTTTATTCAGCTTTTTATCACTTGCAAAAAGGGAACACTCAGTGTAGCACTAATGCTTTCAAGTTTGGATGACCACAAGATTGTTATGATAGTACACTAAATTAGCAAATGTTCATTCATCCAAGAATATTTATGGAGAATGGATTGTGTGTAAGGCACTGTTCTAGACACAAAGATGAACAGGGATAGTCCTTGCTCTCAGGAAGGCCACAGTCAGTGGTGCAAAGCAGGAACAAATAAATAATAATAAACCATTGTGATCAGGACAGCAATAGATACATTCAGGGCATCAAAAGAAACCTGGGTGAGATACTGAACCCGCCCAGGCAGAATTCAAGAAGGTTTCCTGGAATGAGTGACAGCTAAGATGAAAATTAAAGGCTAAGCTGGAGTCTGCAGGTAGAGGCATGGGAGTAGGGATGTTCCAAGCAGAGCAGACAAACAAGTAAAGCGTAAGAGGTAAGAAAAAGTGAATCACATACAAGTCAGGGGACTGTGCAGGGAACCAGAGGGTATGCTTTTTTGGAGCATAAAGTTCAGGGTAGGGAGTATTAAGAGTTGAGGCTGGGGAGTCAGGCAGATTTTAGACCTAAGCAAGAGAATGCTGTAGCTAGATTCACATTTTTACTGTATCTCCATCCCATTTACTAGGGTTGCTTAACAAACGAGCATGGCACAGTTTCCAGGCTGGACCTGAAGAAAATGGCAGCTTCCACTTCTTGTCTCTTCTGGGACATTGCTCTTGTCACCCAATCACTGTTCTGTGAGGAAGCATCAGCAGCCACTTGAAGAGGCCACAAGCAGGTGTCCCAGCAGATACCCCCAGCAGGAGTACCAAGCAACACCTGGCATCAGCCCCCAGACATGTGAGTGAACGAGACTTCACATGATTCGAGCCCTCAGCTGTCAAGTCACAACCAGTCTGTAACCGTTGCCAGCTGATGCCATATGAAGCAGAGATGAGCTGTCCCTATCTGTCTCTGCCCAAATTGTTATTCTGGATTGAGTCCTGGAGTCATTTGCTATGTGGAAACCAGTAACCTGAGCAATCTGTCTAGATTCGGGGTGGAGGATAAGAGTGTGTTGGGGGACCAGACCAGAGGAAAACATATTGGTTTGAAGCCTGATGCAGGACAGCAAGCAGGATATGATGATGGTCTGAACCAGAGCAACGGTGGTCAGCATGGAGAGGAGGGAACAGAGCGAAAATGGGCAGGGCATGGCGACTCGGGCACGGGGCAAGGGAGGGCAGAGTCGGTGACAACTCCAGGATTCGAAGCTTGTTTGGGGGATGGAGCAGAGGCAGTATCACAGCGAAGATGCAAAATGTGGAAGAAGAGAAGGGAGGACGATTAGTTCAGTTCTTGATATGTTGAATTGAGGAAGCCCATCAAAAAAACACAAGCCGGAGAGCAAAGATTTGTGAATTATGAACATAGGCTGTAGATAAAGAGAATGATTAAGATGTCCTGGCTGGTATGCAGAGTGGGAATACTAAATACTCTGGGGAATCTAAGATAATGACATATCATTTCCCCCTAATTAACCTGTGTAAAGACTGAGGCTGGGTGGAGACTGTGGGTTGCCTCTTCCGACCATTCTCTCCTCCTTTCTGAGTAATAAAAACCTTGAATTTAGGTGGGCTCATTGCCGCCCAGCTAAGACCACACACTCCAGTCACTCTTGTAGGTTGGCAAGGCCATGTGACTTAAGTTTTGACTAGAGAAACATCAACAGAAGTGTTCTGTGTAACTGCTGGGAAGTTTCTCAAAGGTAGGGGGGCATGCGCATATCCAGTCTGATGCCTGGAACACTGATGTAATGGCTGGAGCTCTGGCAGATCTCCAGGACCGTGAAGATCACAGCAGAATGGCAGGCAGGATAAAGGCCATGCCCCGAATGACTGCAGAGGCACCAACTTGCCTATCCCTTGTCGGGCAGGGGAAGATTTCCCCTCTACTTCTCTTGACTTCTTTTAGCTGGTCTAATAATTAAATAGACACAAGACAGATTAATAGGAGAAAAAAAACTATTTAACGCACGGAGGTCTCATAAAAACAGACTCCTGAAATGAACAAAGCAGGCTGCTTATGCATCATTTTTTAGACAAAAAGACAATTATTTATGAAAATTTAACAAAGCAAAGGGGCTTGTGCTGTGGTAGCAGGCTAGTGAAGAAGTAACAAAGTTTGTTTATACAGTTTTCTTAGCTTTGAATTCCCTAACTCTGTGGATAAGGGTGCTTTCTATCCTCCTGGTAGAGGGGGGACACCTTCACATGGGAGATTTATTTCCTGCTTTTAGGGGAAAGGAGGAAGGTCAGAGT